CAATCGGGATCACCCCAGAAAAAATTAACAAATCACATTTGAACAATTGATCACATGACCATTGCGATTGGTCAATTGTTTCTTCATTCGAGTTCTCAGACCGATTTCTAGCATAGTGGACACAAGGCTTTACCGTACCATGTACAATTTGGTGCCTCATCCATACCAACCAGGATCACTAGAATCTCTTCGTTCTTTCACCTCTTCAAAATAATTCAAAAAATCTCTAAAAATTCACCAACATACTTCCAACTTTCTAGAATAAATGTTGACTTTTCATTTTGGAAAATAATAAAGTGTAGTATAATTTATAATTACCGAAAGATTCGTAAGTTGGGAAAAAATGGCATTTGATTTAAAAAATTATAACTTTTCATAATAAACGAATATAAAAAAATCACTCCAGGGTTTTGTAGTTTAGATATAAAGTTATGAAAAAAAAATACTAGAACTTCGAATTCTACAAAAAGTTGAATTATTTGAACACATGAATATGAGTAATTTTCAGTAAGGGACATATAGAAAAAATCAAGTTAAAATACGCATTTTTTTATTTTGTTGTAAAATAATGTATTTTTTCATTAGAAAAATGTAAATTTTAATATACATTTAGATAAATATGTAAAGAAAAACGTGACTCGCCTCTTCAGTTTTATCTATTTTGTCTAAAAAATAAATAATTCTTTTAGAAAAAAAAATTTTTAATGAAAACAAACATTCAGACATTAATTTGGAGTGAAAATGGAATACTTATAATGATTTTGACACAATTTTTATTTTCACAGAAAAGCTAACATCGTATACTCACAAGGGTCACTAGTGTCTCACGTCGCCTAAGGGTGCTGTCCCATGACAGTCAAATTTCGGAAAACGGAATCTCGGAAAAGTACTAGACCGGAAAATACTAGACTAGAATCAGAAAACACGGCAGTGTCTCGGCAAGTTAGCACGCTCATTGATATACGCGTTGTGTTCGTTATAGTTCGTTACGGTTAAAAATTAGTAATTGTTAATAAAATAATTATTAATAAATAATTTTCCGATAAATATTGATTAATATATAAATATTTATTGTTTCCATTATATATATGATTATTGTTGGAGATACAAAATTGCGTGCTTGTCTGCTTGTCGGTCCGAAATTTTCGTGACTCGGTTTCCCATGAACCAATTTTTCCGGAATTGTGAAAAATCGGAAAATTTATTTTAAATATTTTATGAAAAAAGGTAATTATGATATAGTAGAAGAATCTGTAAGAAAATAAAATTCCGATGTACTTTTTATTGTAACAGAAGATAATGAATGAAATTTTTAAATTAAAAGTCGGTTTGAGGTTAGAATAATAGTCCGTTTTCCGAAAAAGTCACTCCATGGGAAACCCGATCATCAAAAAGTCGGAACATAAAAATAGTGATCATAGTTAAAAATTTAAATAATTTTTAATAAAATTGACTTTTGAAATAAAATTTATCTTTTTCTTTTATAAATTAAGTGATAGGAACACGATGATATTTTAATTTTTCTTGAAACTATTTAAATAAAATGTTGTTTTATTTTATATATATTAATTCATTCTTTATTCAAAAAATTTGAACAAAAAGAAAAAGAAATTCGCTCGCT